TGCTGTCCACTCTGAAATACGACAGTGGAAAATGATCATTCTCTCAGAAATGTTTTGGCGATGTGTGCAGGCATCACCAGTCACCGACTCCCGTTTAGGAGGGTTTGACAAAAGACAGACGTTGGATAAAAAAATCACTGGAGTCTGTTTTAAACAAGTGATATATTCACCTATTGGTTTTGTTACATTTTTCCATCCCTTTTAATTATTACAGCAACCGCCTAGGCCTATTTTATTAGGCGACCTTCCGTCATTCGCTGAGGTGTCAAAACAGACCTGATTAAACGGTAGTTAATTAGGCTTTATACAATGCTAACAATTACCCGGAATCAATTAGTTAATAATGTCCAAAAAATGCCTTAGAGGGATTCTTCTTCTTAGCAGAGCCATTACATCAAAACTGCCTTCAAGCTAAACTGTGTTTTGCGTTAAGTGAACATGTATCTAGGCATATGGATATGCTGCGTCATTGGCTATTTGACACAAGTAGCTAGACTAAATTGATGAGTTTTTATTATAAACTCTCCCAAAATGTTAGAGCAAAAATATAAGTAACTAAATAAATACATTTTAAAAGCATAAAGCATAGTTAGTTTATATCGTCATTGAAAAGGAATGGGAAAGTAAAAAAATCTGTCAAGCGATGCTCAGTATGCTCTGTGACCATGGGGCCACCGGCTTAACCTAATTCAATATTAATAGGAAGGGAAACTTTAACCAGATCTGCCTGGACGTGTCTCCTTTCACAACCAAGAAGCTTCGTTCTGGCCCAACAATAATTACAATTTTATTCTGTAATTATTCCTTTCTTGTTAATTATTTAGAGCTCGGACTCAAAGCAGCATTGTTAGTGTTTATTGCGGGGAGACCGGGGCTCACATGTCCTACAAGACTGGATCCTCCCACGAGCAGGTACAGCTACACAACAGCCGTCATTAAACAAGCTACCCTGCCATCGTTTAGTCAAGCCTTTGAGACGAATATCCCTTGTAAAAATGCGTAAGCAGTGCACGTTCACGTACCACCTCAAAATATTGAAATCATTCTAACAAAAATGCATTTGAAGTCATTTAATGGTTGCATAGGCTATATTTATCGCTATTAATTTGACTACCGACCAGGTTGTTTTGTGTTAAACTTGATGTGCTTAGTAACCTCTCTGACATGCTATTAAATAATCAATGATTGTTTTTACATAACGGTTGAATCAATACGATAAATATTGTGTTTCAGGACGACATATGCCATTATTGGCTCATTAATATACAAGCTATTATATTACACATGCATGAGTAAATTAATTAAAGAAACTTTATATAGGCCAGTTGCTGAGTGTGAAAGAAAGAATCGAGAAAACAAAACGTCTTCATTAAATAGTGCACTGTAAATGTTCTTCTGCATAAAATTGGGATTAAAAACATGTTCTTAAAATATAATTAGTTATAATAAAATGACTTCAATTTAGTTTAATGCTTACCAACATCGGTATTTATTACCGCACAACTTCTTTTATTTTGAATCTGTCAGTGAAATGTTCTTCTGCATAAAATTGGGATTAAAAACATGTTCTTAAAATATAATTAGTTGTATCGCACATGAAGTTGCAATAAAATGACTTCAATTTAGTTTAATGCTTACCAACATCGGTATTTATTACCGCACAACTTCTTTTATTTTGAATCTGTCAGTAGTGACAAATGGTTCGTACAACAGAATAGACTAAATAAATAGACCAACCTGATTATAGTAGTCAGTATTATCGGAATGAGTCAGGCACAAATATATTTAAGGCACTTTAAATAATAATAATAAAAAAGCTAATGCCATCATTTGCTGACTGGACACCTTTACAGGACAGTTTGAACTGATGCCCTCTGGTTGCCGTTTTAGAGAACTAAAGACAAAGGTCAAGAGACCAGACAACTCTCTATTTTTTTTTATTTAGGCTATTGGAGTGGGTTAATATTCAAATCATCAATTTTAGTTAAACCACAGCATAATAATAAGAGAGTATAAAATGCAATAACACGTTTTTTCTTTCCTTAACTTGACTTTATTTGACTAAGAAGCTCATGCTATTGTTGATAACAACAACGACGGAAACACTTTAGATTTAAACCAGTGTGTTTTCGAAAAATACGAGATGCTGTCCTGGAGGTCATTGCGAGGATTGGCGCATAAATCAAAGGCAGACTAATTCAGCAAGAGAGGTTTAATAAACGAATCAGCTGAAAAGCAGTGTTCTACAGTCACCGTTATATCCGTGCAGTATAAAAGCGCGACCCCAATAAATTTCACTTTAGCGCGAGATCAGTCAGCTTCTCTCATATTGATCTCTGTCGCCTTGACACCCCCCAGTCGCCTGCCGCAACCTTTTTGTTTCGAGTGAAAATAGCGTTTCGATTACTGTTTTTATTAGGAAAAGATTGCTACAAGAGGTTCACCATGGCTTGAAAATTAAGTGGTGACATTTTAATTACTAGACATTGATAAAGGAATCTCGCTAATGGCTGTGAACAGGTCTTTCGGTGCTCGTCCGGCCCCCGCGCTAATCAAACTGGACTGCAGGAGAAAGGTCGCATTAGAGCAGCGGTATATGGGCCCTAACAGCTGAAGGAGGAGGAATACTGAGGGCCTTTAGCTGCTGGGTCCCTAGAATGATGCACTAATGAGACCTTTGGATTGGACTGTTGTTTGACCCTAAAATGCAAACGTGGGACAAAATGACTTTTTTTTCCAAAATGAATTGTTTGGCTATTTTTCCATTGACAAGGACTATTTATCAAGTTAAAGATCCGTATGTCAAAAACAATGAACTCCCTTTTTTTATTTAAACAAGGGCTGACAAAATGTATTTTTTTGCCACCATCTATACTATACTATTTATGGATATTCATTATGCTTTTTGTATTGATAATGTTACATCCGATGCACAGTGTTATTGTAAACATTAAGGTTGGACTGTGTAAGTGAACACTAACAGTGATCCGGTTCAATATGCACTCATGTGGAGAGGAGAGTGACTCCGACCTCCGTATCAGATTCCTGTCCTCCCCATTGTAGTCATCCTGTACGGACCCCAACACTCGGAAAACACTGGACCAAAACTGCATCCCATGACCACTAATGAATTATGTGTAATCAAATACCATCCTTTCAAACATACAAAGTGTAAACTATGTAATGCTAATCATCTGAGGGATAAGCCTAAACTTAATCCAGAGGAGAATCTTAAATGAATAAATGTCTTTGAAGATGGAAGTAGGTTTATAATACCATATACTAAATTATTTATCTTATAAATAACTTTAGCAGGTCTTAGAATACAGACAGCTACATGTAAATACATTTACGCAAAGATTGCATGGTTAAATCCATACAGTCTTGCATTGGTGAATTTTCTTCATTGCATGTTTTTGCTTTGGACCTGAATGATCCTGCAAATGGTCCAGAGAGGTGTGCTATATGAGCACCAGCACCACATGTTGTCTTCACAAATCATGTAAATCTAGTTCGGATTGTCCTGAAAAACATGGAAACATGGAATGCAGACAAATGAATCAATAAGATCTGAATGGTTTTATTGGGGGAAAAAATCACCTTTATGTGCAAACCTCACCTCAATTGCAAAATTAGGAAGTCACATGGTTGTTTTTGTTCCTCATAGATTTAGTTTTGGCCCGGTTGTCATTAAAATCTAAGAAATGAATTTGAGATAGTTGTACAGATTAAGAAATAGGTGCAACAAATAAAATAACTTATAATGCAGCTTAAAACCCCCAACAATGTATTAATGTATTTGGCTTTGGTATGTGACAACTACATTTTCAGAACTATACACATTCTTCATTACAAAAAAATGCTCTTCTTCCATTGTGTGCTGGCCTGGCAGTCATATCCACTGGTGAAATAATTCTGATATTTTTTCAAGACACAGGCAAGGATGAACCACAATATCGAAATAAAATACCTGGCACTTGCATTTAAAAAAAAGTAATACTGATGAGACATTAAAATGGCACATAAATATAAGAAAAGAAAGCAGATGGCCTGATGTGGTTAATGTGAGGAGGTTGCTGATTTGCTTTGATAAAATCCGAAGTGAAGGAAGACTTAACAGTAAGTTAAGTCAGTGAATTTAGATGCATACATTGTATAAGGACTTTGTTCACTATTTTATTAGTTTCTAGTTTAACAGGAATTCAGGTTTAAAAGGGTGCTATGAGTCACTATTGCCATTGTTGCACCTGCTGTGCTAATCTGCATCTGCTAATGTGATCTAAGAATACACAGGTTCTCATCTGAATTCATTTGAGAGATTTTCTTTTATCAAAGACTTATGGGAAAATAATAACTAGACTTGTCCGAGTTGCTGTATAATATTAAAACGTATGCTACCGCTCAAAAGTTTGTGGTCGGTAAGATTTTTGAACATTTTTGAAAGCGATCTGATATGATTTCTCAGCATATGGGGAAGTCGTGGCATAATGGTTAGAGAGTCGGACTCGTAACCCAAAGGTTTTGGGTTCGAGTCTCGTACCAGCAGGGATTGTAGGTGGGGGGAGTGAATGTACAGCGCTCTCTCCCACCTTCAATACCATGACTGAGGTGCTCTTGAGCAAGGCACCGAACCCCCAACTGCTCTCCGGGCGCCGCAGCATAAAAATGGCTGCCCACTGCTCCGGGTGTGTGTTCACGGTGTGTGTTCACTGCTGTGTGTGTGCACTTTGGATGGGATAAATGCAGAGCACTAATTCCGAGTATGGGTCACGTCACTTTCACTGATTTGGTGCTCAAGAAACATTTCATCACTGTTGAAAACAGTTGGGCTGCTTGCTTCTTATTTTTGAGGCAAACATGGTACTCTTTGCAGGACGTTCAAAAGAACAACATTTATTTGCAACAGAAATCTTCCATAATATTGTCTTTACTGTCAATTTTGTTCAATTTAATTCTTCCTTACAGAATACAAAAAAAAAAAAAAAATTACAAAAGATTACAAACTTTTACACAGTAGTGTACATAGAGCTAAACTTGTATAAAATGACCTTAAAAGAGAGATTAAGGCAATGCCCAAATCAAAGTAACCAATTCCCATGAACCCCTTGAATAAAGTTCACAGCTGGGCTTATGCTGGATGAGGGCAAGAACCAAATCCACTGGCCTCTCATGCATCATTACAGTCGGCTGCTGCTGGACTATCTAAAATATCATCCACACGAGCCTTCCACCATAACAAGGCATCACATTTTTCCATCTTCAATGGTGTATTGCCAAAACTGGCAGGCCATTTGTGAAACTCAACAAAAAGTGGCTTTTAAAACAACAGCAGCATGACTTGCACTGCAGCAGGGAGCAATGCTCGACACAAGCCCATATATTTAAAAACCGAGATGATTTATGACATGCCCACAATGTTTTGGCAAAACCAGATTGTTGCTTTAAGTACAGACAGAGACGGTATTTTCTCTCAAATCCAAACCCACAGGGACTAAATCTCGAGAAAATCGAGCAAGCAACAGCCCCCCGCATGGATCTTCAGCAAAAACATTTACTTTGGAATCTGCACAGAAAGTGAAAAGAAACCCACTGCAGAAGAACAAAGTTAAAGATTTGCATCGATGCAAACCAACATACACGGTTAAAATCCTCATTTGCAGGATGCTAGCATAATCTGCATTGGACTCGTAGCAGTTCTCTCACCATACACCATTTAACTCAAGGCTGCGAGGAGGTGCTCTATGTGAGGTGCTGCAAGATCAGCCGCTGCTTCTCTAGGTTTAGTGGAAGAGTAAACTGAGGAAATGTGGACACCATATTATCCCAGAATTCCATCTGGTGCCGCTGCTGTTCACAGGAGTCTCTGTGCTTGCTGGCTTTTGCGCTCCTCTAGACTGCGGCACACCCACATGGACACGACCTCAGTGTTGCCATCATTATATTGCATGATAAAGGGGTGGTCCTGAAGGGAGGAAAAGGGAAAAAAACACAGAATGAGGCAAATGATTCTTCACTGATACATAACAGCAATATAAATTAGTAATGGAGACTGAACAACAATTATGTTCTTGTTCAAAGACATCAAAATTATACAGTAAGCACATCATTCTGAAACCATAAATCTCACTGTGGTGTGGCATACAAATTAAAAAGACAGATACAGTTTACAGCTTTCAGTTATGTTCATGTCAAGGTGATGCCAACTGATTTTCTTTTCTATATTCAACATTGATAAACAGTAGCAGAATGAGCAGCGTAAATGAGTGTTGATTTTTCTGCTGCAAAGCATCTCAAATACCAACTTGGCATTAAATAGTTCAACTTGCAATTGAAGGACAGTGATCCAAATACAAAATCATTAGCAAGCTGAATTGAAACAAACAACTGTTTCTTAATCTGATGTTCATTTGATGCAGACTGAACACCTTTGATGGTCTTCTCATACCCTTTCACCACTACAGCATCCTCTCTCATTCTTTCCTTCTTTCTCTCTCAATGAGGACAACGCTCTACCATCAATCGTTCTGTCCTCTTAATGGTGAGCTCTGCCTGTGCCACAGTGAGGTTAATCACTCTCAGTGCTGGAGAGGGCAGTCCTGAGGGGCGACTCTACCAGCCACCCATTTCATCAATCACACGGCCTTGCTGCCAGCTTCTCAAGCGGACCTGCTGCAGTCATATGCTTCTTCATGTTGAGCCTGCCTGCTCAGGTGAGGCTCTGACCCCAGCGATAGACAGAGGAGAGAGTTCATCTCATAATTCTTCTCCTATGGGCACTTTTGGCCCAAGTCTGGAATTGGAAATTAAGTCTCTTAAAACCCCTTAACTGTTAACTTAACTGTCAACTGCTTGGCGCTCTTTTCTGTTGTTGTCCTTTTTCTCTATCAAATCTTTTAGTAATCATCATAAATTATATATAATTTGAAAGCCTAGAAGCCCAAGATTCATCCTGTTGAAAACCATTTTGAAATCGGACATTGCATTACCATGGAAATGGTACTTTAAAATATTTTGCCGGTCTCCTCCCCCTTAGTGGGCAGTGTCAAGTGTCATATTACAAAATACATTATGGTCTTTTAGAATCAAACCTTTTTATAATCTTGACAAAAAACATATCATTGGAAAGGTCTGAGTCTCAGAATTCCATATATGGTGGGATAGAAGTAATATTGACAGAGAAATCTAGACATTTGTGACAGAAAATGAACTATGGATGGCACTCGGTGGCTGTTTGTGGTATAACGTCCTAAATAAAATCTCACAGGAACCTCCATTTGTTTTCATATCAACTTCAAATTTGGAACATAACTTATTTAGACACAAGGCTTTAATATTATACCAATTTTAGAGTAAAACATGTTATGTAAAATATTTATTATATATAAAATAAAATAAAATTAATATAGTGCATTTTATTTACAGTAAATACAAACTTCTATAACTTTTTAATACTTTAATTTTTTTTGAAAAGATACCACTTTTGCAATAATCTGCTGTTTTTCTTCTTTAAAAAGAGACCAACCTTAGGTCTGTTCCAAAGTGTTCATAAATTATAACAATTTAAGTTTGGATAGAGCACTTTCATGCCTAGTTTTAAAAATGGGAGGGGGAGGGGGGGGGCGTTTTAAAACACACTTTTTATACTGTCATTGTTATGTTTGTCCATGGACGTCAAATACATGCATCACAACAGAGGTTCAATCGTTTTCATTTCAATTTGGGTGCCCTAAATGCACAACATTTAAGTACAAGTTTAGCATAATTTGTCATTTCCAGTTAAGCTGTAACTTTGCCGATCAATAAATATTCAACAAGACATTCAGAGTCTTCAGAAAGGCGGTCTCCTTGGTAATCAATTATACTAACTTTTCCAAAAAAACTTTATTAAGGACAAAATTGCTCAGGGCTGTGTTTCCCGAAACCTTCTTAACGCTACGTCTTTCATAAGTTATACCTCAAATTGTACCTTGACGTTAATACGTGTTTCCCGAAACGTTCTTAGTTAAGTATACCTTCTGTAAGTCATTCGTTCGTAAGGTTGGTCTGGACCACTCTTAGCTATACCTTACTACTGTTCACAGTTCACTCCACTAGTGGCCACCACTGTGCAAAAAGCTTCTTCACATTTCAGTCGATACGATTGTAATTCAGTGGCAAGAAAAAGTGCAGAACAAAATAAATATGACAATTCTAAAGTTGTAATACACCCAGTGTTCAATTAATTGAAGTGTTTTTATGCAAAGAATAAAACTGTATATTAAAATGGAAAAACTAACAACCATCAGTATAATGACAAAGGCACATCGGCTGGCAAACCATTGGGCAGCACATAATTAGGAGTCTATTTAAAGGGAATGAATGTGATGGGGAGTTTGGTCAAACTATGGCAATGAGACAGCGAATAGTTGTCCTAAATCAAAGACGGCTGCGTCCGTGGAGCCAGTTAGTGTATGTGCACTATTTCATAATAGTGTCAGAATAGCTACCATGTCAAAAGATACAATTCTACAAACATTTCGCCTGCCACGGGAGCAAATTTAGCAGCTTTTACATCTTGTTGGTCCAACTTTGTCGAGACAAACTCGACGGAGCTACCCCCTAAGCCCCGAAATTCAGCTGCTGGTGGTGTACCGACGAAACATGCTACCTATCAAAAACAACAAAAATATATTTGCATCTTTTAAGGGTAAGTTTAGGGTAAGGGTAGGAATGGAAGGGTAGGTTTAGAGTAGGGGTAGGTATGGACATTAAAAAAAGCCTCAAACCACATGAATAAGATGCTGGTAGCACAATCTGATAGGTAGCATTTTTCGCTATCGATTTGTGCTACCTATCTTTTTAATGGAAGGTAGCACAATCTGAACGGGTAACACAAATCGTCAGAACAGCGGCTCTCCGTTTTTATGCTGTGGGGAGTTTTCTGGAGGTGGTTGGGGATGGATATGGGCCGAGTAAGACCTCGGTGTGACGGTGTGTTCACTCGGTCACAAACATCCTGCTCCGTCACGCCACCGATTATATACGTATGCCTTTCGCCAGGCACGAAGTGATGGAGGCACATCAAGGCTTCCATGCCATTGCGGGTGTCCCGTAAGTAACTGGCCTTGTGGATGGGAGTCAGGACACTTATCCCTATTGCCAACCCATCAGCGCTCGACCAGGCCTTCATAATATATATGAACATGATAATATAAATTACCCTTTCAAAAGCAAGCAAAGCCAAACAGCCAGTTAATGTAGCTGGTTAAGGCAGAATACTTTTAGCCGTGAGGTTGCAGGTTCGCACTCTTATACAGTGCTTATACATACATACATACATACATACACACTGGCTGCAATATAACAAAGAGTGAAAAATTTAAGGGGGTCTGAATACTTTCCGTACCCACTGTATATATACTGTATGTGATATCCAAGGTTGCATTTACATTTAGACATTTAGCAGACGCTATTATCCAAAGCGACTTACAAACGAGGACAAATGCTATAATAAGTCTCAGTTAGCTTAACGCAGTACACGTAGCAAGTTTAAAAAAAAAATCATATAATAAATAAAAAGAAAACGGATAGAATAGAAAAAGAACAGAGCAAGCTAGTGTTGGATGGCTTTTTTTGCTTTTGTTAGTCAGAAGTCAGAATTATAATTGTATAATAAATAAAAAGAAAACAAATAGAATACAAAAAGATTAGAGAAGCAAGTGTTAGGTTTTTTTTTAAAGAAAACAAGCAGTTAGTAAATAAATAGAGTGCAAGTCTAAAAGGTGCACGTTTTTTTTTTATAAAGAATAGAATTAGAATAGAGAGTGCTAGAGTTAGAGGGTCAAATAAAGATGGAAGAGATTCTTGAAGATGGTTAAGGACTCAGCTGCTCGAGTTGGGCAGGTCATTCCACCAGGAGGAATGACAATTTTTTGTTTGCAATTTAGATTTTATAAATGCAGTGAGCCCCGATAAATGCAATTTATAATATTTCTAAAGTGCTTCTTTATAATGAACATCGCTTTCTCAATACTTTACCTGCTCTATAACGCAGTGAAGGAGCTCCTGTATATAGTGAACAATTGATTCTCGAGCCATCGATATCAACCTATTCAGCACCACCGCCATGGACAGCACCTGCTAACGTCGCACGTAAGAAGGTTCACCCTAAGCAACATCCTAAGGTATAGTTCGGGGAACACACCTAGGAAAGGTATACCCCTAGTTAAGGTGTACCTTTAGAGTCTTCGTAGCGCGCTAAGAGACACCGTTATCGGAAAACGCAGCCCTGTTTATTGGAAATGATACCACAGCTGTGGGACAGTCATATATAAATCCCTTTCACAAAATATATAGCAAAATGGTTCATTTCAGAATTGAATTTGTTTAGATATTATTTTAAATGTAATATTTTTGTTGTGGATTTTCATATTTCTGGGACATGGGTCAAAATTGTATTATTACATAAGACATTTGAAAAATAACAAAAATAAACGAAGGCATGGTAAAACGTTTTAAATGTGATTTTCATATAATCATTAAAAAAAAACACAGTAGCTGATTCAGAAGCGCCAGATTGTCATAGCAAAGTCAGAATTACCTCCTCTCCCAGGTTCACGAAACGGTCGTCAATAAAATGCATTGCTGTTCTGTTGTAAGTAATCTTAAAGATTCCTAAATGCATCTACTTTCGGAAGGCCAAATAAAGTGCTTTTGCTTTCGCCTAGAAACACTAATATTTTTAATCCGTTTTTATTTTACATTTAATTTTAAAGTTTTAGTAATTTTTTTGTATTAATTTAAGTTATTTTAGTACATAAAAAGTACATAAATGTAAACTATATAAAAAATTTTTTTTAATATATATATATTTCATTATTTTACATGTATATGCTATTATATTTTTTAAGCTAACAGTTATTTCTTTCAGGTCATGACAAAAAATTGCTTTATTTAGCTATAATAAGCATGTATCTAGCAGAA